CTTTCATTGCCAATAATAATTAATAATATTTCACAATATTAAAATATATATTCTTTATTATATAATAAAAGAATTTCAAAATAACTATAATTATATAAAATAAATCTTCCATATCAATTGGTAAAAAAAAAACATATTCCCATTGCTATATATTCCCATTAAAACACATCAATTTTTTTTTAAATATATATTATCAATCATTCTATATATAAATACGACATTATTAATTCCCCATTAATTACAACTCCACATTAATTAAATATTCAATTTCATTAAAATATTTAAAATTCGATTTGCGACACTTACAATAGCCTCCATATCCAATATTTTATCCCTATTAAGATTTCAAGGAGGAATTAAACGGGCCTTTTTATAAACGCAAAATTCGGCATCAAAAACATATTCGAATATAATTATAATAAATGCCTTAAAAAATAATGTTTAATATACTCTATAAAATGCATACGAATTTAATAAAAAAACATAGAACCAAAGTAGGGCGATCAATAATTAGATTCTAGAATATATTTCTTTATAGTCTTTAGAAACAATTAAAACCCATACAAAAAATACTTATATTTTTTAGAGAATCGAATCATCACCTTTTTCAATGCTAAATCGGAAATTGTGAAAATCAATTTATAAAGGACCAAAGCGATGCATTCCCAGGAGCTGCCGTTCTGTTTATTTATTAAATATATATAATGTTTTAGGGAGTGGAATATATCTTGAAGAACGTGTTATAATATATCCTTTTCCATTCCCCCCGATAAAATAGGACCCATTGGCCAGCCGCTTTCTAAGGTCATTTCCAATTTCCCCACACCTGCAAGAAATCTGCTTTGCGGCGATGTGTGCGGCGCTATGGCCGATATTAGGCTCATAACCCATTAAAAAGCACTGTATCTTTATGTACGAGCACAGCTACTTTCCAAAATTTAAAATTGCCTCTACCCATATGAGGCATGCACCTTGAAGGCTATGCACATCACCTTTCGTAAATCATGTATATGAAAAATGTTCCAACATATGTTGGATTTAACTATATAATACCAATAACGTTATTTCGTAACATGGGGTGTTCTTTAAATCAATCTCTAAATATAGCATAGTTGACATAATTGTTTGTATTGTAGTTTTCCAATTTTGCCATGCTTTTGATGGCCATCAGCTACACTACCAAAACAATGAAGCAAGTCGAATATCTAAGCACCCGCCCAGCGTGTAATTGCAAGAACATCATGGGCTATTTCGCCCTCCTCCATACTTCCGCCAGTATGAGTTCTCCTTGTCCCACCAATACGGAAGCGCTACGATGCTGATGCAGCAGCTGGTGACCAAAGGTGCAACAAGCCCGAAAGTGACCTTAAAGAAGTTCAAATTGCACTTCTTCCACCAAACGGGTAAGTCGGAAACATGTTATTCTCATCAAGAACAAGTTTGGTCATCCACATGACGTTTCATTCTACAGCCTCAATCAGTGCCTGGGTTGTCAGTATCCAGCCACCTAGAAGGTTTTAACACATTTCTTTGCACTAACAGCGGCATGCAACCAACCAAATGTAAATACAACATGTTCATCTTCGAGATTTGCGCAGGCCAGATCTTGGGCCGATCTGACACGCAACATAATGCAACTCTGCGGCGTGAATCATCAAAAGGATGACAAACTTCAACACGGCCTGCGCAAACCAACTTTCTGAAAATCCCTTTCAACTCTAGAGGTTTGACAAGAAATGGTTGTGTGGCAGTTGTGGCGGATGGCAATTTGAAGTGTTGGAGCCATTCAACATGTCCATTTGGAGTCAAGCAAGTGGTCCACTCTTGAAGCTTGATTGCCTCCTTCTGGCAACCCAGCCTTCTTCCGCCGCTTCTGCATAGCTTCAATATCCTGAAAGAATTGAGCCGCGCAAGTGGTGCAACAAAATGGGCAGCGGCACGGTCGAATTCGTCAGGTCCTGCAAAACTGCAGGGTTCTGGGGCAAAGAGCGAGCAGTTTTCAACTGACCAGAGAAGGCCACCAGCAGTAGTGTGTTGCAAGCGACCTGAGACAAGATTCACCTATTGTTCTGCACTTCTTGGCACGTTTGGTGGAAGGCCTTTCCCTAAGGCTGTTGCAAAGAAGACGCGAGCAGCTGTTACCACTGCGGGGATGGCACAGGTGGAGGCGTTTGTGCAATCGAGAGATCGAAATATCATTTGGTTTGCAATGAAAATGGCAATGTCCAGGATCAATTCTTGCCTCAGAAGCTCCGCCAAGCCTACCTAAAAGACAGTTCCACACATCCCCACACCCATTGGGTCTCCCAAATGCACTGCCTAACCCCAACCTTGGCGAACAAGGAGTAAGAACAGGTAAACCACTGCGAAAATGTGATATCACAGCTGCACCTTACTAACTGCGGAAAACACATGCCAAGGAAAGACAAAAAAAAACAAATTAATTTCTTCCAAGTGTCCTGTGACGCTGCTCTGGCACTCTGACTTTCTGCTCCGCTGCCATGACTGTTCGGGATTTGCAATGTAGCGGCCTTCCAGGTCCCAACATGATCAAAATTCTGAGATATCGTTGCATGATATATATATATATACATACGTGATTATACGTGTGTGTGTGTGCGATTGGCAGCCAAACGTTCAATGATACTGAGTCCTAGTGAGATAGGAGTTGTGTAGCCTCAATGAGCTCCATGCAAAGACACTTGCTGTCGATTAAACCACCTGTATCGTTCAACCGCTCGTCAAACTGGTTCAAGGAAGGTTGCCTGCCTCACTCGTGGCCTACTTACGTAGATTCTTAGCATTTCGCTTGAGCCTAATGGCAGCTGTCCGAGTCCCGTGTTGGACATCCATGCGGTTCTGATCAAGTTCCTGTATAATCTGTATATGCCTGCATGGTCGTCTGCACGTTGCCAACCAACGGTCCTACTTTCTCACAACGTAGCCCTTTTGCATGGCCATGTCCGAGGCATACGCCTTCCGTTCCATGTCTGGCTTTCTGTACCATGTTCACCTCGCCGGCCGGCTTCACCGCGCAGGTGAGAAACGTTGGTTGATCTTGGCGTTCTCAAATTCGCTCTCCACTGAACCATCATGCGGCTGATCGTCCTGGGCCACCAACATCACCCTCCACTTGGCTTGGGGATCGAGTGTTCCAATAAAGCTCAACATCTTTAACCATCTCATATTGTGCTACGAGTGCCAAGAAGTGGACCCCGTAATGATCCAGGGTTGCTGGGTTGTTCCCTTGCGACATGACCATGCAACGTTTGAAGGGCTTGATCGCATTTTAGGCTTGAGCTGGAGGCTTTCTGCGCTTTTTGGCAGCGGGCTGTACAATGGAAGGGATGGCCCAATCTGTGCATGGCCTCATATTTCTGGGAACTGTAAATGAATTCGAAGGCACTCTCTTTACATGGCCTTGGCATGTTGCTTCAGCTGGCCGGTGAAGCATGCGGCTAGAACCGCCAATACAAAGTAGGAGCCCACCTGTGGGGTTGGCACTTGGGAATCCTGATGATCCTCATGGCTGCTGCACTCTTCTCGGGTCAATGATCCCCATTGAGTTCAGTTGAACATTCATGAATATATACTTCCACCCCTTTTCAATATCTTTACCCAAAGGCCCACCTGTGATGCAGCAAAGGTGGTCGTGTTGAACACTGCCCCCAACTGGGCGCCCAAGCCACGCCCCAGCTGAATGACCACCATGTTCGCAAAGCCTGCATGCGGGACGTGTCCAGCCGTGGACATGTCGGGGCCGGCTTCGCCGGGTGAAGGGGTCGGGGTGCCACTGAATGTCACTGGGTAGTTTTGACAAGCCCCGCAAGAGGTTGTAACCTTCTCAACCATCAGCCTGCGCGCCTGCGTTGTCCTTGTACTCTGGGGCCACAATCTTCGGCACCAAGGCGTAGCCATAGTTCTTCACCACGCCAGAGCAGGACTGCATCAGCAAAAACCCCAGGATGAAGACCACCACCGAGGCCGTGTCCCAGGAATGACCGATATGGAAGGTCAAGGTCGCGCTAACGCCTGGCATGTGGCGGGTGTTGGGATAACAGGTGAATGCCAAAAATGAACCATTGGTCCCAATAGGATTAATTACTGAAAGATGGTCATCAATCCAACAATATGCAAAGCAGGTCCTTGAGCTGAAAAGTCTGCCTGACCTGTCATCACACCTGCTTCAAGAAACAACAAGCAACAACAATCCGTGCATCGACAACAATGTCACCTGGACTCTGAGAAAAAGGCCCTATATGTAACTTGTTCTATCTAGATCTATCTAGAATACGCTCCAGCGCCAACTTAATGCAACAAATCCCGTGGCTCGCAACCTGCTTTCGTGAGATGGTCAGTCAACGCGACGCAAAAGCACGCACTACTAATTCATACCGATTCCACCAAGCTGCAGGCACACAAGGAGGTGATCAAGAGGCCCTTCCGGTCCTCCACGTAGGGCGTCACCGCGCTGCTAGCGAAGCTCATCAACGCTACAACCCCCATGGCTGCTGCCAAGTAGAACCCCGTGGCTGAGACGCTCAAGGACCAGGTCTTTTCAGCTAATTTGACGAAGAAAACGATGCACATCGTTGAGGTTGTAGGACTCCTTAGTTTCTGTGTGTGAGCCTCGGACTCCTGGACGGAGAGGATGGGTTAAATTCCCTGGGTTTGCTGCTGGATACGGGGACACATCCCCTAAAGTGTAGAGGTCAGCCATTTGCTGCAAACAAACCACATGAAGCAAATCCATGGCTCAAGAAGGACGCCAGCAGGCAAGTCAAAAGGCCAGGTTTCCAGAACTTCTCCTGCGGCTCTCCCTCTGCCGGCTCTGGCGGAGTTGGGCTAGAGACTTGGGGATCTGCCACATCTTCGAAGAAGAACACCACCAGTAGCAGGTAGATGAAATACAGCATAGCCATAAACCACCCGGGGATCGTATCAGAGTTCAACACCAAATCCTCAATGCGAAGTTCCTGCTGGACAAAGTCAACCAACGTCATGTCGTCAACATTCCCCACTTCCGCGGGAGCGCTTGCGGGGATTAAGCCCTGGGAGGTTTGGACTACGCAGAGTCACAGTGTTCCCGTGATTAAACAACAAACGTCCTTCACAAAGATCTCCAGTAAGGCAGCAATCAAGGGCGCGCAGCAAAAGGCCACAGCTGTCATGGTCGAGTACATGAAGAGGACCTTGGGTTGCTAGAGCCAGCTGCATTCCAACAAACTTCAGAGGCTCAACCTTTCGAAACAACCTAAAATATATCCAATCAGCCCCCTGGAGTTTATATATTTCATGCTTTGAGTAGGTCTTTTCCAGGAATCAAGGGATTTGTTTTCAGAGCATCTCTCAGGAACACCTGTTCTGTTAAATAGAACTTGCCGAAGTGAAGGCTTTTCTTGCAAAAAAACATGTGGAAAAGCAATGTGTTTGCAGTGGTTTTGGCGGATACATCACCAAAAATCACCAAAACCTAGGTTTTGAACAATGTGTTGTTTCAATGTTTTGTTGTTAATGCACACCATGATCAAAATCACAATGTTTATTTGTGGTCTTGAAACCTGACAAAAACGTAAGTGTTGAGCTATTGTTTTGTTTCAATTGTTCAAGCCAGGCCGACAAAGATCTAGATAAAAAAAACATGTACCCAAAACATAAATGTTTGAGACACAATGAAGGCAAAACCAACAAAAACAAATCAACATCCAATAGTGCCCGGGTTTTGTCTCACACATTGTTTTTTTGTGTTGTTTTAAATGTGTATTTTGCATTTTTTTACTATTTGTTGGTGGTATGCCCTCTAATCCATTTGCCGGCCTGGTCTGAACAATTGAAGTAAAACAATAGCTCAAAACCTAGGTTTTCGTGAGGTCCAGTAAGGTTATGTATGTCTTGCTTAACTGGCTCTACATGTTCAAAGGCAAATTTTAAGCACCAAAAAGATGCCTCCTTAAGGGCATTAAGATTCAAACAAAGGAGCGCATTACTAAAGAAGCTAATGAGCTCGACCAAGATGCAACAGCATTGTTGCAACTGCTATCCAGGCAACAAATTGTTTCTTCTGGTGTCCTGTCTCAATAAGTGGTGCTAGTGCTCCAGTAGGTTGTACCTGTTTTGCTTGAGGTGTTCTACATACGTTCAAACGTGCCAAAAAGGAAGGCTATTTCAATCTTCACAAGGTCTTTTCTTGGTCAAGTTGTTTTGTTTGGCTTAGCTTTTTCTAAGAAAGTAAGGAGCTACATTAGGCACAAGCAGTTTGATTGATTTTATTCAATGCGCAAAATGTATAATAATGTATATATATATATATTTATGTGTGTGTGTGTTTATTTAAGCTTATATGTTTTTCTTATTGGTTGCCTTGTCATGGTTCTTGTTTCTCTTGGTTTGGACAAGGTACCAGCCAAAGCCAAATTCGTACAGCAATCACATTTTTGCTGTGGAAATTCCGGTGTACCTTGAGATTTGGTTTTATTGTTGTATAACGAACAACCAGGTCCGAGGGCAGTTTGCCCCACTATAGAATCAAATGTCAACCTCCTGCAGTGCTGGAAACCTGTTCTCTATAGAATCCATTGCCTCAGGGTGTGGAACTTGATAGCAACAAATAGGAAAATCAATGATGCATAGCCAAGGTTGGTTTTGATTCTATAGAGAAGTGTGGGGACATATTAAGGTTGAAGTTAATTTTAAAGATATTTGACAAATGTGGCCCAAGACTGGTTTTGATTTTCTATAGAAGTGTGGGGACATATGAAGGGTGAAGTTCAGTTTAAAAATCTTAGGCAAATGTGGCCCAAGAGGTTGGTTTTTATTTTGTAGACCTGACCTGACAGCACACCATCCACTTTAAAATCAATGCTCAACCCTCTACTACTCCAGATGCTTTCTATAGAATCAATTGTTAGGACCTCTGCAACATCTGGTGACATGGCGTGCCCTCTCTATAGGATCAAGTGTTGGCACCCATTTTGAAAGAACAAACTGACTTTTTTGGACCCCATGTTTAAAATGTTGTGTTTTCAGATATGTTAATTTTTGATTCTATAAGAAGATTGTCTATATAATCTGAGGATTTAGATTGTTTTTGCCTATGAATAAAGGACATCAAAGCAATTAAAGCATAGCTGGAAGAAAGAACGAATCAGTCGCAACATGTGGAATCTATTGGAACAATAGAAAGGTCCTTTGGGATCAATGCGAAGTTGCTGAGGGGAGAGTGTTGAAGCTGAAGTCTGCAGATCTGATATCAATCCTTTCAAGATTCCAAGCCAAACAGCTTTGAGAACAAATACCAGGCAGTTGTTGATATTGAACAAGAAAGAGTCAAACTAATAATGCTTATTATTGATTTCACACATTGACAGTGCACATAGAAATTCTGCACAGGAAGATAGAACAATATAGAAAATATGCATGTCGCCTTGGGTCTCAAAGCGGAGTTTTTAATTTTGCGTGGTGTTTACTATGTTTTAGATAGATTTTGAGCTAGTGTGTGCTCTCCCGCTCTTTTTTGGGGGGGGGTGAGACTTGTGACGCCTAGGCCCTAGGTCTCAAATCCCTGCAACACCACCAAGACACCTTGGTCCGCTTCTTCACGCCCACTGTCCAGGCGATATAGATCGGCCCAGCAAGTTGGCACTGGCAAATCCCAACCATCGTCCGCGCGGCCAAGATCACCAGCTTGGAATGCCTATGGTCGCCGGCACTTTGTTATGTAGAAGAGGTGACGCATAGAAAAAATCAAACAGCACATACTGGGCAAACATTAAAATGAAAACAACACATAACAGGCTGTCATGATCAACAGTCTCCAGATTTGGTGTATATACATTTGTCTGTATTGCTG